TGGTTATAGATTCACTCAAGGACAAGAGGAGTGCCAACAAAATGAAGACAGCATTAAAGACCATGCCGAGGGGCCTTCATGGTGCCTACTCTGTGGCGCTGCTTCGAATCTGCTCCCAATCAGAATCTGTCAGGGACCTTGCGCTCCGCGCGCTTCTCTGGACGGTCAACGCACTCGAGCCTCTGACTAATGAGGAGCTACTCGAAGCGCTGGCAATAGAGCCGGAAATGGACGAAATTACTGCCGGGGACAGGCTTACAGAGAGCGTTCCGTTGACTACAGACTGTGCAGACCTCCTCGTTTTCAGGGGGGGTCGTTTTCAGCCGTTGCACCCGTCGCTAGTGGAGTTCTTGCACGGGCTCGGTAAGTCCATCATAGACGATGGTCTCCTTGAATACCGCCATCTGCAAGGGCGGTCGCATTATCTTCTCGCAGAAACTTGCTTGACATATCTCAATATGAAGGTATTCAAAGATCAACACGAGCGACCTGGACTGACCATTGACGCTATTATGAAGCACTATCCTTTCTTGAAATACGCCGCTCGCAACTGGGGCAGCCATCTGCGAGATTGCAACCCCACGGGAGAAGACTTCAATCATATAGGAGAAATGGTTCGCGAACTACTTAGTAATAGTAGAACGCGCGGCTTTGCCTATGGGATACTCCAGCAAGCTCAACACAATTATGGCACAGAATCTCTACATCTAGATGCCACACCGTTGCACTTCCTGGCAATTTACGGTCTTGACCGGTTCCTTCCATTATTTGATAATGTAGAATCGGATATACATTCTCCTGATGGGCGAGGATATTTTCCTATCTATTACGCGCTCATCTATAAACAAAGATCCATGTCTCTCTGGATTCTAAACCGATGCAGGAGAGAGCAAGCCGACAAAAGTAGAACATCTCTGAGCAGAGGCAATGCTTTACTTTTAGCAGCAGCTTGGCACAATTGGCCGGATGTTTTACGCAAGTTACTCGAGCTAGGTCTCACTGAGAACGCTCACAGCACTGGCGGGCTGGTTGCTTTATGTGAAGCCGCGAAGCTAGGCTATACGGAGATAATAGAGGTTCTGCTACAGGCCGGCGTAGATCCAAATGCTAGGGACAAAGATGGCAATACTGCGGTTATGCTAGCAGCTCAGTCTCAGCACGCCGCTGCAGCAAGAAGACTAATGCAAGCTGGGGCCGATATATCTTTAACGAATGACCAAGGCGCCACCGCACTTCACCTTGTCTGTGAGTACGGGGATGCATTGCTTACTGAGGAGTTGCTGGACCGAGGAGCAAATATCAACCGGAAATGGCTCGACAAGACGAGTCTAGAGATAGCAGCTAAGAATGATCACCTTCGCATCATCAGGCTTCTCTGCGTACGCGGAGCGAACTCGGATAGCAGAAGTCAGGCAATAATCTGGAGTTCCGGATGTGGCAATCTGGATGCCGTCAAAGTTTTGCTCCAGCATGGGGTCGATATAACGACGAAAGACATGATTGGCCAGACTGCGTTGCACGTCTCAGCCCGCCATTCTAGCACAGATATCATGACTCTGCTGTTGCAAAATGGCGGAAGAGAGTGTATTGAGATGACTGACCGAGTTGGTTACAGTCCATTACATTACGCTGCTTCTACCGGAAGTGTTCCATGCGTCCAGCTCCTTGTTAATAATCACGCCAAAATTCACTGCGAGGATTCATTAAGATACTCCATGGCAGGCTATTCGCCTCTTCACCTAGCGGTGAAAGAAGGACACTGGGAAGTTAGCAAGATACTGATAGAAAATTACGGGGCCAACGCGAGCCAGAAGGGCAGAAATGGCAAGACGTGTATGCACTTTGCTGCTCTGCTGACGAGCACTTCAGACTGGGTGGGCTTGTTGGCAAAGTCAATGGTCGATCCTAACCCTCCAGATGATGACGGTATCACTCCCATGCATGAAGCGGCAGAGGAAGGGAACGAGGCATTCGCAAGGGCGCTTTTCGAAAGGATTCCGCGCGAAGTTGATTATGGGCAACAAGGATGTCTTCTGCTTGCCGCAAAAAATGGCCACGCGAATATGTTACGAGCTTTCACCGCCTGGTATGCCCAAGATCCCAAAAGTACGACATTCTTGGGCGAATCACCTCTGCATGAGTCTGCACGAAATGGAAATCTTGAGTGCATGAAAGTTCTTGTTGAAGTCTACCCCCAGTTCATCAACAGTAAAAACAGCAGCCATAAGACACCATTGTATCTTGCCTGTCGGAGTTCATCGATTGATGTCGTTGAGTATCTTCTGAATAACGGTGCAGATCCAGATATAGATAGCGGAGCGACGGAGTTCGCTACACCCCTATACGAGGCAGTATCTAAGAAACAACTCAAGGTTGCAGAAATGCTAATCGATAGAGGTGCGAACCTTGACGCGTTGGAAGTTGATCTGTGGACACCGCTTCATATCGCTGCTTTTAGAGGTTACCACGACCTTGTTGCGCAGCTGCTCGATGCTGGGTGCGAGCCACATCTCTTGACCAACAAGGGCGCCACAGCTTTCTCTTTAGCAGTTCAGAAAGGCCATGGTGAGGTGATTGATGCATTTTTGTCTCGAGGGTTGGATGGCAGCTCCATCGCTGCTAACGGAGGTATAACCTGCGCCCAAATGGCACTGAAATGCGGTCACCTAGACATATGGCGCAAACTAGCAAGCCTAAATCAGAACATCGCTGAGGAAAGAGATTCAGACGGCAATGATTTGATTGTTTTTGCCGCCATCTCGTATAACATCAAAATGCTGGGGGAGATATTACGTATGGGCTTTACCCCGGGTAGCTCTTCATCCTATCGCCCGCCACTGTGCTGGGCAGCTGACTATGGTAGAGCAGGCGCAGTGCAAGCTTTACTAAGTGCAGGTGCAGATGTGAACGAAACGGACAACTACTTCCGCACAGCGCTGCACTGGGCCGTACTCGAAAAGAACTCCGCAGTGGCAGCAATGCTCATCCAAAGTGGCGCTTCACCTTTCATGAGAGATGCTCAAGGATACTCAGCCCTCGATTACAGCATTAGAGCGCCGCAGATATACAACATGCTGAAACTTCACGCGGAAGCTCATGTTGTTGTTAGCTTGGACAAACAAAGACAAACGCTGGCTAGATTTATTGGCAGAACGGCAAATGCGCTGCTCTCATTGTCCCCAGAACGATGGGCAAGCATCACGACCAGGACCTATCTTTCCACGTACGCAAAGGACATGCTTTTCAGTCTATTTAATGCTCTAGCCAAAATAGGCAGGCTTTCAGTTGGAGATCTTCGGCTGGCAAGCTACTCAGAAGCGACTGTCATCGGACTTGGCACAAAGGCGGCTACCTATTGCGACATGTGCGGCGATCTCGTGGATTCTCCCTTCTACTGTTGCATTGAGTGTGACACTACAGCTCTTTGTGAAGATTGCTATGAGATATACACCGAAGAAGTATCCGATGACGACAGGCCTTCGGTATGCGACAGCCGAAAGCGATGGGGAGAGCAGAACCACGTGCTGGAGTCAGTTCGCATAGCTCTAAGTATACTATACAACCAAGAAAGCACCAGTTGCGACATTAACGAACTATTACCCAGTGCTTTGAACTTGGATGAGTACTTTAGTATTTGGATTAGTGTGCAATCCGAAGAATATGAACGCCATCTGAGTAATTGGAATTCCTATTGCTCTGAGCCCAGCCCCGAAAGCGACCACGGATGGCAAACACTGCTAGTCCTACAACAGGCCATCTTGCAAGGCCAGAAAACTCATTTGGATATATCGCTAGAAGGGATGGACTCAGTGGAAACCTTCATGGTGAGCCTCAAATCTGGAACAGCGGTTAACAACCTCGCTAGTTCTTTCGAGCGATTGTATGAATCCAACGAATATGTGAGCCTTGGCAGAACCATGTTTTGGTGTAAGGACCATTACTATCTGGAGATAACGGAGTTCGACGATCTCGATGAAAACTATCAGGACTTCCTCGGCCCAAAGGACGAAATCCGCCGCGAGTTTATCGAATTCCTTGCCAAGAAATACGCTCGAGCCGCCTCGTCACTGTATACAATGGATTCTTACGAAGATTCGCCGTCGGCTTTTCGCATAAGCGAAGAAGAGTTGACGTTCGGGCACGAGCCGACTGAAGTGAAACCCAGCCATAAACCCACGAATGAGACACTGCCGTTAACTTCTCCTGCAAAAGAAGAAGACTGGGAGCGGAGAGGCGATAAGATACAGCCCTCAGACCTAGATACTATCCGAGAAAACTTACTAGGAAAGAGGGAGATGCTGATGGCAAAGAGCGGTGGGCTCCTAACTAGCAACGAAGAGCTGACGTTCGAGGCTGCATGGAGGTTTGCTCAGGCAATCACGAGCCTGCACTGCTCAGGGCCACCCTTGGCCAACATGGATCGTGAACATTTGCAATTCGTTACAGCACCTTCTAGTCCTGTAGCCACTTATTTTGAACTTGATTAGATATCAACATGAAGATAGGGCCTGAAAATTACCTCAATTTTTATTTCACCCCCCCCCTGCTAGGACGGTCGCCTCATTACGTGCTCTAGTATTCTGAACGTCGATGCACGGTAATCTATGTACGATTTAGACTTTGTCCCAATTTCAATTGATTTTTAGAATCAATCTCAACATCGTATATCCAACCGCAGCCCAATAATTGATGGGCAGTTGAAGATACTTAAATCAGGACCCCACTATTCAGCGTTGGTTCGGCGTTCTTACCGCACACGCTATCTTGGAACTCAGGCAAGCGACAGGCTTGACACAGCATGATGGAAATACGATTATAAAAAAATGTTGCGGGATATCCCGGGCACTAAATAACGTTTCAAGAGTCATTAGACTCAGATCATATGAAGATGCTGTTGAGAGGTAAATGGGAAAGGCAATCTTTGCACCGGAGTCAACATTTGCGCAAGTCTCAATCGTTTGATACGTAAATTGGTATGTACCACAGGGGGAAACAACATCGGCCCTATGGTCTAGTGGTATGATACTCGCTTTGGGTAGCTTTAGCTGGACAGCATGCGAGTGGTCCCGGATTCGAATTCCGGTGGGGCCCCAATTTTTTGACCCCTAGGAACATGATAGACAGCACACCCCCATATTTTCATCTTACCTGTCATCTTTTCTTCTTTTTATCGATTTCACAATCCTCCAGTTGAAAATAGATAGCTGTACGGAGTAGATAACAACATGTAGTTTAGGGGTTAGAAGATGGGGGCCGGGGGGGGGCTGGGTGGCGGGTCAAGTCCCACTAATCGGATCCACGAAAGCAGTGGAGTAGGATAAAGTCAGCCGAGCCGCTGGGGAGTACGGCGTCATGAGATGTGTAGATGGCTTCACACATAGTTTTACGTCTACATAAGCCCTGTGTCAGAAGCTAAATTGACAGAATTAATCAATCAGAGAGGGAACTTACTACTCATGAGATATTCTCAGCTCCTCGACATTAAAATCTCGGAACGTGGTGAAGGCGAAGTACTGTGCGTTGTCGCGACACTCATGCAACAACTGGTAATCCATGAGGCTGTAACTGACCACTCTCCAGTTTCCTAAACAAAACTACAGCAGAGAGGCCCCTTGCGCCCTGCATTTTTTTCAGCTTCCGATGCATTGCAACAGCTAAGTTGAGAGCCTGCTGCCTGGGGCTGTTCTTGAAACTGCTGTGTAACCTCATCGTGTAGCCTGCTTACACAGCCTGCTTCCCTTTGCCAAGAGCTGGAAAATAACAATGTTTGTCCTATTTACATGGATGAATGGGGTACCTCGTATTTCCGAAGACCTGTTTCACACTATTATGCGGTGAAAGAAATAAGAGGATGAAAGGATGAAAGGATGGAAATTATACTATCAATCCATTCGTAGTTAGGCGACATGGTGGCGTTGTATAGGAGTGTGGCTGCTTTCATTAGTAACACAATATTTTAATAGCCTCCATCTGAGACAATTGCCACAGTGAGTGGTGGTCAGCCAAAACCGGGGAGACCCTATGATAGGTAGCCTCGGTAGAGGGCCAAGAAGTTCCATGATCATTCCGCAATTAATTACTGTAAGGAAAAGAAATGAAGTGGACAGGCATGTTATCCAATACAGCACCTGTTTATGGACACCAACAAAACATTAATGCCAAAGTAAGATATCAATTTGCTGATCAATAATCCTTGGCTGCATTCTCAAGTGTACATTTAATGCCGTCGGGCTTAGCACGGCCCGACATCGATGTCATGATAATGATTGTGTCAAGCAGCACCCCCTCTAACAGCTTGGCTTCTGGTAAAGTCCCATCAAATGAGAGACCCCATTGTCCAAGCTAGCATAACCCAACCAAAATGATTCCAAATGAGAGAGATATGGTATTGAGTATATGTAACTTTAGAAAGCACTGCTAAACCCCATGAGCAAATTGAGATACACCACGAGAATGGAAATTTGAAGAACACAAATTTCCGCGTTCTATATTTCCAAAACATCCTCAATGATATGTACAGCAGAATTATCACTCCATTGCCAGCCCTGATACTACCCAACCAATAATCTGGAAAACAGAGATCCAAGACCCCACAGCTGCGGCGACGTCCTGATCTTTCGTGTCAGTGGCTATCAAGGGAAGAGTACGTGGTATGGACGCACTCACTGTCCATTGCATCATGCGTTCAATCGAAGTGACCTCTCTATGAAAAGTTGGATACTGTATCAACACAGTCATGTGACACGCACCAAGATATTTATCGGAGCTTACATCACACGTCATGCTTGCCTGCGGCACGGTTGAGATAGCAGAGAGTTCGTAGTCGTAGGCTGGCTTCTTCGGGGGCTCCTCTTTGTAGCTCAAGCCTAGATTTATAGATGACATTGCGAGATCGTCGATCAATTGAAGTTGGGTATATCCGTATTGAAGACTCTCTTCGAGGGACAATTGTGCATCCCAAATGGCTAGCCACAAGCTCGGGGATAGAGGCGTGAACGAGTCGGTGAAAGCTGCATCGCTGTTATCTGAATCAACCTTTGTCAGTATTAATCAACTCTTTCTCAAATAGGGCCCGTTCTGGGAAAGGGATTATGAAATACTTACAGTTAAAGAACACCTGGACCAAAAGCGGCGTCGTGGGGCTCACGTTGATCATATATTGGCTTGGATTCCATGACAGCATCTTGTAGGTAGTGTTGTGCCACTGGAAAGGCTGAATTTCTGTATCCCAATAACCAGCACAGTCGCACCAGTCGCCGAGATTATCCACCGCATCGCAGACAGGCAGATCGTTCACCAACCAGCCTACAGAGCATTTCGGGTAGGTCTCAAGGGTGATGTTGGCCTGTGATGACCAGTTCACGTTCTGCAACACGGCTACGGATGGGTAGTATACGTATGGCTGTTGGTCAAATGCTCTCCTGTTAGCTAGGAGACAGCTGAATAGCATTTAATTATGTCTTCAACCGACTGTACTTACGACTTCGTCCTTTTGTATCACTAGCACCTCTGCAAGAAGCTGAGGACTCCAGGTTGTGTACAGTAAGATGGGTGTTGCGAGGCAAGTCATCATCGCAGTCCATATCGTGTTTCGCTGGTTGGCGGTCCACTCCTGATTTTTCCATTGTTTTGAGTCATTCGATATACTATTGACTTGTGCATGGAATAGTTTTTTATGATACCACCAGGCTAGAGGAACCCAGGTCCCAAGAACCAGACAGGTTAGGAAGCCATAAAACAGCCAGAACTTGCTCGTACGCTCTGGGTTGCGAGACCAATAGAATATGACAAAGCATGAAGATGCAAGCAGACAGATTATGGACAGACTCAGAGCTATCGGCTTGATCCATCTTCCTTTGATCCAAGGACACCCTGGGGCTCCAGCTTTAGAATGTTGATTCATGGTCATTTCGGTGAAGAGGTCAATTGATTCTCAATTCAATGGTGATAGAAACCCCAATATTCTCTAAAAAAACACCGAGTCCAGAAAGATTTCATGCATCACACGTTGTTTCGCGGGCAAACTGGCAGAGGTTTCCGAGGACTGTTGCAGTTGCAGAGTTATAGGCCTATGGGAGGATTGTGCCGATTTGCACATACATCTGAGGCACATAGCGAAGAACCCCTTGATTTAACCCCTTGATTTAAATTTCCGCGTAAAACACGATTTGACCAAAACGGTAACGCCATGCTTGCCCTTTGGTGTAACCCAGTATGAAAAAACAAAGGAGCCGACATGGGTACGTACAGTAGGACCACAGTGGATGCCCAATTTCAGGGATAACAAATGCCAATTCAAAGGCTGGGGGCGGGAAGCAGGATTTTGTTGATTACATCTGTTGTACCTGTGTGTCTGGTTGTCCACACACTTGTGGAAGGAAGTGCATCAAAAATAGAGCCTGATAACACACTAGTTGAGACTCCATATATATTTAAAGAATAGATATCTGGGTTATAGTTGTCCCCCCCGTTCTTCCTAGCCTACCTTGTGTCCAAAACCACACCCTTATTCCTTCGTCAAAAATTATTCGTCTTATCCACCTTGAGATCCCCGGGCCCCTGTTCAAAATCTATCATTGGTCTTTGATCGACCACTCGGCCATTATTCCACCCACAGAGCATCATGCATGTACGCCACTTTCTTTGTGCCTGGCTAGTCCCTGCAACCGCGGCACAGAGCATTTTTATCAACCGCATCCCCGAGTACTCAGATCTTCCATCCTGCGCAGAATATCCTCTGAGCACAATCGTGAGGGATATGGTCTCCGGCTGTGGCGATGGCGGGAGAACAACGTCCTATCGCTGCTTTTGCACAGATAGGTCTTCTCATATGGCTTCGGTCATTAGCAGTAACGTTGCATCTGATTGTTTGCCTGAGACGCCTTCTGCAGTGAGCGAAGCCCTTGCCGTCTTCAATAGTTACTGCGCACTGAAATCGGATTCGATGACATCAAATGCCACTCAAGGTTGGTCAATTCTTCTCATATCATTATCAGCACACCTTGACATGACGCCGAAGCTGATACCTATGTCTTGAATTAGTGTTGACGCCACCCTCAACGGTAGCTACAACTACGGGCACATCTAGCGGGATCGTATCCTCTACTGTATCCCACAGCGGTGTAAGCAGTCGCACAATATTGCCAACATTGCCCACCCAGACTACCTCTGGCAGCGAAAAATCCCAAGGTTTGATGTTGAGACTTCTTGGGTTGGGTCTAGTGGTCGCGGGACTTTTACCAATAGTTTCGTGAAGCCAGAAAAGGGCACGTGAGCCACCTATAGCCCGAGTGGAGTATATCTTACCAATGTTGGAAAAAGAGATGGCTTTGTATACATATCCATGTAAGTTGGTGGGTATCAGAAACAAGGGGCTAAGTTGGATCAGATCGGTAAATATTGGAGATGCGGCAATTCCTTATGCAGTCTAGCCCCGGTGTTCTTCGTCGCTCTATGGCCGCTGGAGTTGGAATGGCCAGAGGTGCAGGGGCCGGGGCTACATCGTGAAAGCAGCCGTGCACCTTGCAGTCCCCCTAGCTCAGTGCAGTGCGCTAACGGTAAGCATAGACGAGGCATAATTCACCTCGCTCTCAGCCTGACAATTTATACAAGGCGTCTCGGCCTAGAGCTATCTTTGATCCTTCTGCGGGAATCTTGCGCTGGCTCATCCGGATTGGTTATACTTGCAAAATGCCACAATCATCATTTCCATTGACACTAAACAAGTTCAGAACATTTGATAATATCAATCCTCGCCTTATTTCATAATAGACATCATGTCCCTATGGAAGTTTGGATACATTTGTCTTAACGCCCGGCAACAGGATATCTGGAATGAAGAGGAAACTGAAGTTTGCCAGAATCATAGGCTAGTAAAGGTGCAGTTTGCAAGCACTATTGGTAGCAAGAATAGAATGGACTGAGCAAGATTAGCATTTCTTCCCAGAAAGCGAATTCTTAGTGATGCATTTTTGAACGACTTACTCTTGATCACCCCTCCACCCAACACACTTGTAACAGTCAAAGATGTGGGTGGGATCGTACTTGTTCTTGACTGCCACAAGCCTGTCATAAAACGAGCCAAAATACGT